GCATCATGCTGGGGAGGGAAGACAGGAGGAAATCTTGTGTTTCAGCTTCGTGTCCCTTCCCCAGCTGCCTCCACCTGCTGCTGCCCTTGCAGGATTAGCCACGGATGGGAAACTGAGCACGGACTCAAAGCAGGCAGGAGTGTGGAGGCGTAGGAATCGATCTTAGTTTGCCGGATACAGCCAGGTGCTTGCTCTCAGTCCTTGGACCCAACACTGTGTCCTGGGGACAGGGGGACAGGGTGGGCCATGGGCAGTGGCACTCCTCACACACTGGCATCCCCTCCTCTCACTCGCAGGCCCACGGCTGAAAGCTATGGACCCTGGATTCCTGGTCCCCAGGACAACAATGCCCGGGCCCTCTCTCTCCCTGGAGAATGGCAGGGACAGCAGCTCCTGACTGGGCCTGAGAGCGATCGGTTCTGTAATGTGGAAACAAGGGGAGTCCTCATCTGGGAGGCTGTCAGTGTTGGGTGGGAGGGGAGTGAGAGGGAGACCGGACGGCATGGGAGGACAGTCACAGGCTCTGGCCCCAACTTTTGAGACTCTCCAAGACCTTTGCCCAGATTCCAAATTCAAGGTGTGTGGTGCTGCCCGGGGGGCCTTCCCTCGCAATGGTCCCCTCCCCGACAGTGAGCGCCAGACCTTGGTGACTGCCATCGGCCCCGACCACATGGCGATCTCCAGGCAAGCCCTGGGGAGAAGGGCAGGGGTCTGAACCTACCGGGGTTGGGAGAACTGAGGGTCTTCCTGGAGGTGCTGATGACAGGCTGATATGCAGGAGGGGCTTCTTCTAGCCAGTTCTTCCTGCCTCAGGCTGAGCCTCAAGCTCTGAGTGAAAGGGTCCACTGGGCAGCAGGTCACTGGGTGTGCCTGGCTGGCCTGCAGGGCCCCACCCGTGGCGGCAGCGGGGCTGGAGGTAGTCAGCGGAGACTCCTGGTGGGTGCATGGGTCAGGACGTGTGGGGCTAGACGCTCATTTCCGCATTTGGGGCCTTTTCCTGCCCTGGGCATGGTTGATCTTCGTGGTGGGGCTGCCTAGTCCTGGGCACTGCAGGGTGAGCAAATACGGAGAGCCCTGCGCACCAGCAGCAGAAGCCCCTCTCTCCCCTCAGGTGCCGCAAACAAAAGGGCTCCAAACACCGCCCCAGGGGGCTGATGGAGAACCACTGATTTAAAGCAAAAACAGGATGCTTGTTTCCAGCTTCATCTGCGTTGTGCTTGTTCTGTGTCTTTCTGTGTTTGCCTTTCTTCCTCTTGAACTGCCTCTGCTCCCTTGGTGTTAGTCTCTGCTAGTGTGAGTGTGTGAGTGTGTGTGTGTGTGTGTGTGTGGTGGGCATGCTGTGTCTAGTCTGTTATGTAGCATGTGCATATGCTGTGTTATGTACATTTGTGTGCTGCGTGTTTTGTGTATATGGTATGTGTGGTGCATGTGATGTATGCGTGTGTGTGTTGTGTGGAGTGATGTATGTATGTGGTGTTGTGTGTTTTGTGTGTGTACAGAGTTGTGTAGTTTTATGTGTGTTTGGCACGTTTTATATGGAACTGTGTGTGTTGTGTAGTGTATGGAAATGTGTGGGTTTTGTGGGGTGTGCGTGTGCCTGTGTGCCTGAGTCTACAAGTCTGAGGTCTCCAAGGAGCCCAGGTCTCTTGTCCCTCCCTTCTCTACAGGAGTCCAGTCCTCCCAGCCCTGCACCCTCGTCCTCGTGGTTCTACTGGCCCTCTTCAGGCTGTCCCCTCAGCTCTGCGGTCCTGAGCCAGGCTGGCGAGGGAGGCCAGGGGTCATGAGGATGGAGCCAGCTTGGAGCACTGAGGTCAAAATCACCATGCGCCAGCTTGGAGTTTGTTCCAGTCACTGGGTTCACAAGCTCTGAGTGCCAGCTCATAAAGCTTGTAAAGGCCCCGGTGACAGATCAGTGGGTCACACACCCAGCACAGCACTGCCCTGGGCCCGGGTGTGCAGCAGCACACTGCTGGGGTACCTGCTGGGAGCCGCCGAGCTGGGCTGCAGTGCCGGCTGTTGCTCCCTGAATGGTGCTGTGTGCAGAAACCCTCCAACCTTCAACAAAAACACCTGAGAGTCTGAAGAAATAGGAGCGTCAAGTGGCTCCAAGTGTACACAGCCACTGTAGCACCCGCGGTCAGGAGTCTGAGTTCTGCAGCGCGGCCACGAGCTTTTCCCCAAATGTGACTTCAGTCCCTCACCCGCCTTGCTCGTCCCACTTGCCAGTTACAGATTTGTCCCCTCCGACCTGAGTCCTCATTTCCTGCACCCTCTCCACCAGGTTCCACTAAGCCTGCATACCATGGGGTCATCGTATGACGAGCTTCAGACCCTATTCGGCGCCCTAGAAAAGTTCTAGGGAAAGGCCAAGGGGAAGAGGGTTCACAGGTGGAGCTGGTGGTGGGAATGGGACCTGGGGCGGGGGCGGGGAGGCAGAGGCCACGCCAAACAGCACCATGCAGCCAGCTGCACCTTCTCAGATATGCACCTGCCTGGTGCTTGACACGCATTGATGCGTGCTGCATTTTATGTCAGAGTGAATCAGTAAGTTCTAGCAATGTTTTAGAAAGTGTGTGTGTGTGTGTGTGTGTGTGTGTGTGGACTTCCTCACAGATGGTCTGCAGGCATTTAGTCTTCCTGAGCCTGATCCCCTTCCCGAATGTTCCCAAAGGCCACAGATGCACACATGGATGGGAACATCTCCTTTCCTCTCATGCGTTCCCCTGCACTGTCTGCGTCCTCACTCCTCGCCCTCCCCATCCACCTCTGCAGCCGGTGACTGTGCCCACCTTGAGAGAGCTCACAGAGCTTGGGGCCCCTCTCTCACTCTCTCCTTGACTTGAGCATCTTATTCCTAGGTCCCCTACTCAGAAGACATCAGGATAGTGACTGAGGACTGGGCAGGGGAGAATGGATGTAGACTCTTACGGGTTTGTGAGAGAGGTCCCAAAGCTTTCAAGGAAGCCCATGAGCCCCAGGGGCCCCACGGAGCTCTGACCTCATCCACCCAGCCCCAGGCTGGAGTGCTGGCTTAGAGCCCGGATGAGGCCCCTGAGAGATACGATGTGTGAAGGAGGTGTCAAAGTCCACAGCCTTCCACTGGGCCGAGCTCGGTCCTGCAGTGCCTTGCTTTCCCCAAGCTTCCTATGGTCTCTATGTTTCTCTCCCTTGCAGACCCCAATCCTTTTCACCCGCATTGTCCCTGGCCTCATCTCTTCTCTTGCAGGTGCCATAGTGGCCCAGAATGAGAGTCCATGGCAGGTCACACAGCCCACTGAGGAGCTCAACTCTGCTGGATATGCATAGGAAGACTGGCTTCCTGGGGGCAATTGCGATCAGGACAGCTGTATTCTGGCCCCAATCCACCAGGAACTCCTCCGCTGGACTTGGCCAGGTCAGTTACCTTTCAGCCTCCTGATCCGCAAACCGAGGTCGGCACGTCTTCAGCTCCCCCGTTCCTCTCTCCACTCTGTTCCCCAGGCAGTCTCCTCTCAGCCTCCGCGTGCAGGATGGCTCAGACCATCATCCCGTCAGAGAGCCTGGAAGCTGCTCAGACCATCATCCCGTCAGAGAGCCTGGACACTGTCCATGGCTGCTCTGGTGTCTGAACCTCCCTGGGAGTTGCTCTTCTGGGTGGAGGGGAGAGAGAGAAGACCAGCAGGACACAGGCACACAAGGCTTCCAATCATCTTCCAGCTCTGGGTGGAGAGAGAGTGAGGCTCCCCGACATGGCGATTCCTAGAGCTAAAGCCACAGACAGGAGAGGGGACAGGGTGGATGTGGGCTGGCTCTGCATTCCAGGCCAGCGGGCCCAGACTCACAGTTCCAATGCCACTGTTTCTACATTGCAAGAACCATGTGGTCTCAGCCACGGGGTGCAAGGGACCACTAAGCTCAGAATAAACAATATTATTGGGGTTCAGGAGACAGGACGTGGCTGTTGTGCCAAATCGCATTATGTCTGCCAAAACCTGCAAGTGAAGTCCTTTCCCAAAAGCACGCGCTCGTCCGGGAACAAGAGCCTTCCGGAGCAGCAGGCCTGCTGCGGCAGCACCTTATCGTCCATCTCCCCACAGCTTGTCCCCACCTGTACTTCCTATTCTTTTTCTCTCCCCACCCCAACAAGGTCAGTGAAAGGGTAGCAGGTGATCAGAATCTTTCAAACTCTACTAACGTGAGCAGGCACCCAAACACCCCACCAGCTCCGTCATAAAAACCAAGCCAAACGGAGACTTGTTGGAGAGAGGGGTGAACTGTGCCATGTGCATGGACACATACAAGCCATGGGAGGGACTCTCCCTAAATGTCTGGGGCTGAGGGGTCCAGGACAGAGATGCAGGACAGGAAAGGCAGAACAGAGGTGGACGGAACACACTGAGGGGGTGGGCCACAGGGTGCTAGCCTCCTCTCCCTGCCCACGGCTGGGGCTGTAGCTTCATCTCTGATGGAGCAGTGGTAGGGAGGAGGTGACTGGGCCCCATGCCCCTGGACTGTCTGGCAGCTCCAAACTGGGGCATGAGGGGCTGGGCAGATGCCGTGGCAGATACCTGAGCAGGGTGCGGTGGGAGGCTGAGACTCCTGACGGTGGAGAGGCAGGGGCCAGTGGGGGCAGGTGATAATTTCTAGCTGGGTACAAAGGAGGGACTGAAGCCAAACAGTATGTTCCCCCAGCTGACTTCTGGGCAATTGTGGATCTACGTAGGCACCCAGAGCATGAGGTCCCTTGCCAGCCGCTCAAATAACAGGAACTAGGACATTTAAAACAAACCTTAGCCCCCACCTCCCCTGCCCCCAGTGTACACTAGGTTCCTGGGCCGGGGACACGATGACCTTCAGGGTGCCCCATCCACGTGGAGTGTGGACGTCAGCAGGCGCCACTGGGATGTGTTTCTACATACATGCACGGGGCCGCGTGAGGTGCGGTAGGGCACAGGGTGTGGGCATTCGCTGGAGTAGACAACAATCTCTGGGTAGGGATCTTCTCACCCAATCATCTCATGGTCACAGAGCTGCACACCGTGCCCCCTCACGCCTTCCCTTTGTTGCTTTGCTGAAACTCCCAACTCCAGGAGCTGACTTTGGAGCGTCTGAGGGCCCTGTGAGTCTCCCGGCTGCCAGGAAGTGCAGGCGCTCTTTTGCAGTGAGATGTGGCCTAAAATCCTTGCACACGGAGCAGAGTCCAGAAAGAAAGCATCAGAGCACAGAGCTGCCTGGCAGAGTCAACCTTGAAGGAGCTGGTGTGTGCTTCCTGTCACGGCAGGTGGCTGGGGCAGTGAGGAAGACACACGCTGGCCAGACGTGCTCAAGCGTGCGTGAGCTTAGCGTTGCACTGAACTGGCTCTGAGTTCCCCTCTCCATGTCTGCCTCTGTTGCAGACTTCGTGAGAAGGGTGGCCCCTCCCACACCTGGCTCTGGATCTATCCACCTGTCCACATGCTTGATGGAGCCCTTGTGGATCGGCTAGTCTTGGTCACCATCCTGCTCTGTACTGGTAAGATCTGTGGTTGCAATCAGATAATCTGAGAATCAATTTCCTTGTCTGCAAATGGGAACACTGACCTTGCTCTGTTTACCGTATGGGGCTCATGTAAGGATGAAAAAGATAATGGGCATGAAAAAACTTTATTTACTAAAAGTGGAATGGAATGCAGGGCTTGTTTGCCCTCACCTTCGCTTGGGTGGGAGTATTTGAAATGGAACACATCTAGGAAACAGCTTTGTGGTGGAGACACCAGAACTGCTGTATATCAGGGGCTGCAAATCTTGTGGTGTAAGCGCAGGCCCTGGGGCCAAGTAAGTGCAGGTTCACAGCCAGACTGCTAGTTACCGCCTGAGTGATCCCGAGCAAATCCGTCCACCTCTCTGAGCCCGTTTCCTAGTCTCCAACATGAGCACAGGAATAGTCGCTTGACCTTAGGCAAGGACCTCACCCTCTGGGCCTTAGTTGTCCGCAAAGTGAGGATAAACACAGCTAACTTACAGGTTCCAGGGAATTAGGTGACAGGTGTGCAGAGCACCTGGTCTATAGTGAAGGTAGAGTCACGGTCTCTGGTCTTCTCTTTGGCTGTTTTTCTGTCCTGGGGGGCCTTCCAGTGATCCACTTATCCTCCTGTGAGCAAACCATCCATCCCCTACTCCACACACCTCAGGCTGCTGCCCCCCCTGCAAGGTGAGCTTCTGCATCATCCACCTCGGAGACCTCACCTTCTTGCTCCTGGAGAGACTGTGTAAATCTAAATCACTTCTTCATTTTTCAATTGAGTAGGGAAGAAATGGTGTCCCCCTACACCAGGCTCCCTAACCAGGTCCATCCTGCTCTAGCTTGGAAGATGCTCCAGACGGCCTGGCTCGTAAACCCCAGGTATCCCTTGCAGCTCAGCTCAGTGCTTGACCCGAGCCAGCTGGGCTGGTCCCTTGGTGCTCCCACCTGTTTCCCTCCTGCCTGAATGTGAAGCATCCCTCCCACGGTGTCAGCATCTTCCTTGCATTTGCCGGCTTCCTTCACTTGCATGGTCTCAGCCACATCATAATCTTCTTTCTCCCCCATCAGAGCACCTGGCCAAGAGTGTATGTTACACAGTGCTTTGAGAAGAGTAAGCTGTGCCAAAGAAATTGCAAGTCATTTAGTAGATGTATTTCCTTTCAGAGGCCCCAAGGGCAAAGGTAGGACGGTGTGCAACAGAGGGGCCCAGAGGGTGATAGGCTCAAAACAAGGTGCCAGGAGGTGAGTGTATGGGTGTGAGCACCCGCTGGGTGTGGGGGGTGTTGGTCAACCCCCAGCCCACACACAGGGAAATGGCCATCCAGAGACCATCTGCTCTTGAAGGATTTATTGGCCTGGAGACAAGGAGGAACGGAGCAGCAGCTGGGATGAAGTGTGGGCTGTGGTGTGTGCAGCAAAGGCACCTGTGTCCCCAGCCACACCCACCCGCGTGTCCTGAGCTCCCCCAGTCCTGGCTGCTGGGGACACGGGGTGGGGTGAGCCATCACCAAAGGGAGACCCAGACGCCATGGCACCTGCCATTCGCTTCCCTCTTGCCCACCAGATTTGTGCAAAGAGGGACAGAGAACAGGAAGAGACAGATGTCTCCCTTGGGAAAGGCAGCTGTCTTTCTGGATGTGGACTCTGTGGGGAGCAGGGAGGGGCCCGAGGGCCTATAGCAAGAGGGACTGCTTTCTGAGAGGGGCCCCGAGGGCCTATAGCAAGAGGGACTGCTTTCTGAGAGGGGCCCCGAGGGCCTATAGCAAGAGGGACTGCTTTCTGAGAGGGGCCCCGAGGGCCTATAGCAAGAGGGACTGCTTTCTGAGAGGGCCTGGGAGAAGGAACTTGCTATGGGGAAGGGGAGGGGGTGAACCTCTCCACAGCAGAGACATAAGATGGCCAAGGAGGACTGTGCCAGGTCACCTTCATGGGGCCAAAGCTTTTTTTTTTTTAAGAGTTTACGTATTTATTTGAGATGTTGAGAGGTAGAGTTACAGACAGTGAGAGAGAGAGAGAGTCAGGTCTTCCATCTGCTGGTTTACTCACCAAATGGCCGCAATGGTTGGAGCTGGCCCGATCCAAAGCCATGAGCTCTTCCTGGTCAGGACCCTGGGCCATCTTCCACTGCTTTCCCAGGCCTTAGCAGAGAGCTGGATTGGAAGAGGAGCAGCCGGGACTAGAACTGGCACCCATGTGGGGTGCTGGTGCTGCAGGAGGAGGATTAACCTACTGTGCCGCAGCACCAGCCGCAGAAGCTTTGAGTATTTTGGCTCTCTCTGTCTCACCTTCTCATGCCTGAGCTGGAAAGCAGCACCTGCACAGGGCTGGGGGAAAGCAAGAGGAGCAAGAGCACAAGAAAAGCAGCCCGGGGCAGGCTAGGAGAGTGCAGTGACCCCTAACGTCAGTCAAATGGCAGCCACCTGAGTGCTTTCACAGGTGTGCTGCTGTTTTACTGTCACAGTCGAGTCGGGCAGCCAGGTCGGGGATTCTTGTCATCGAATCCTAATGTACAATTCCCTCAGCCAACACCATCGCAGAGCTGGGGACTGAAACAGGGTGTGCACAGACACGTTAGCCGCCAAGGGCCCTGGATCTCGGGGGTGGCACGCAAAGGGCTGAGGAAGGAAGCAGCCGCTAGCCGAGGTGGCCTCAGGTTAACCCAGAATGCACCAGGGCCACTTGTCATGGAAGCCCACGGGTGTGGCCGGAGCGAGGATGGCAGTGGCACTGCATCTTGGAGGCACGGCCTGCCAGGCCGCTCAGCTGACTCCAAGGCTTGATCAGGAGGGAGACAGGAACGCAGCTTAAGCAGAAGGAAGGAGAGAAAGCTTCGCTGATGAGAGAGTAGGTCTCAAGAATCCTTAAACAGAAGCCCTGTCTTGGATACCTGGCCTTGCTCTGGTTGAGTGCAGACACACACGCTCAGTGTTTGCAGCTGAGGCTTGGCCTTGCATAAGCCCCGGTTCCCTCGGGCCCAATGGGCCATAATTGCTGCCGCCTCCAGCCCAGGGATAACAAAGAAGAGGTACAAGCAAAATTAAGGTGTGTCCAGTCTTTCCCCAGGTGGCTCCTGCCTGGCTGCCATCCCAGGGCACGGGCTGGGGGGTGGGGTGCACTGGCCCAGCCTCTCCCTGTCGCTGTGACACCATAAGGCATTACCTGGTCAAAGTATTTCTTTCCTTGCTCATTTCTCATCTTTTCCTCATTAACCTTTAAGAAACAAGTAGGCCTGGCTCAGAGGAATAAATGATCCTTGATCCCGCGTCAAAGTTTTCTCAGCTTTTCCCTGAGTGATCTCAGGTGTGCCAAGGGGCCAGGGTTTGCCCTTCCTTCTCCAGCTCCATTGCTCTGCCCCGTGTTGGCCATGCCATCCTGCCCCAGGGACCACCCAGCCTTTCCTCCCACCAATCCCTTCTCCCTCGCCCTCAACTCCAGTACCCCAGACCTTATCTTGCATTTCTGCAGGTGCAAAACAGGGGGAGGGGCACTGACCTCTGCCCTCTTTCCCAAGGCTACAAGCAGACGCATTCCTCAGGTGCAACTCCACCATTCTGACCAGGATCCCGAACCTTGTCAATACATACTTTGTGAACACCTGGAAGGGGACCTGTTTTTAAAGGCCAGTGGGGCTGGTGAGAACAAACCATCAGTCCCATCATTCCCTTGTCTCTGGCCACTGAACGGACTGAAGTGACAGGCACATGGTGACTTTAGAAATTCGGGGAACACTCCTAAGGCAGGAATATGAGTGCTTCTTTCACTCCCAGCCTCAGGAGCCCTGTACAGGAGCCTGGCAGCTGCCTGCTGGGACAAGAGCTACCATCAGGTCTAAGCCTTGGGCCCCCACTTTGAGGACCACAGCTGCCTGCGGCACCGCGATGTCTGCGTGTTCTCTCTTCCCTCCTACTTGGGCTCCTGCGGGCAGGGGTGGAATCTTGCAGATCACCTCTCACGGAGGGTACTGCACACACCCAGTGACTTCAGTAAGCCCTATTCGGTGGATTTGCTGCTGGCAAGCAATCTCCCTCTCTTCCTCCTTTTTTCACCTTCTTGTCCCCCCTTCCTGTCCCTTCTCCTCTTTTGTCCTCTTTTTCTTTCTCTCCCTGACTCTCTCATATACCTATAAGTATATTTTAGCTGGAAAATTGATCAATAATTGCATTTGCATTGGTTTTTAGCCTTTTCATGCATGTTATGTGCTCGTCTTTATTACAATGCCAGTCAAAAACAGGTACTTTTACTACCTTTAGGAGGTAGAAAAAATAAGTGAGGTATGTGTGTTCAGTGGTAGAAGTTAGATTAAAAACAGGTCAATCATTCATAGAATCAGTTAATGAGTATATACCTCACAATAGATTGTACCAGGAATTGTGCCAGCTACTGGGAATACAATAGTCAATAAGATGGACACTATCTTTGTCTTTGTGGACCTTACTAACACGAAGGAAAACAGAAGCTTCAAGAAGTAAATGTAGGGTGTGTAGCAAAACAGAAAATACAGGTACTCTGGAAACACAGCAAGAGATCTATAATCCAGCTCTGGGGTCAGAGACCTCCCTAAAGCATACACGCACACGAGCACCCACGCACAATAATTGTGGAATCTTTAAGTGGAGGCCAATAGGGTAGACAAAATGTTACAAAGCTGGAAGGCAGAAAAGGAGAGGTGGAAAGTCCAGAAAAAGATTATTTTGGTAAGAAACCTTACTTTTCTGTTGTTTTTCAAAGGAGATGTTTTAGGGAATAGGACTTGATACACACTTGTTATGATGAGGGGGACAGAAGTGTTGAGCATGACGCCTAGAACCCTGGTCCAGGCCACTTTGCTTACTGAGCTGCCATCTACTTGGCTGAGAACGCTGCCAGAGGAGCAGGTTTGGTGGGGGGAAGAAAAGATGTTTGATTTAGGACATGCCGACTTTGGGCTGCCTATGAAATACCCAGGGAGTGCAGGCCAACAGATAGGTGTCCAAGCTGTTCACACCTGGTGCTCAGAAGACAAATCACAA